GGGGGGACCCCGGCTCCCCTCCCCGGGCAGAGGCGCCCGCCGCACCCCTGCGGCCCAGCCCTTCTTGGGTGGCCGGGCCGGCCCCTCTCCCTCCCCGGAGTGGCTGGACCTCAGGCCACCACAGAGGGGCCAGGCACAGGTCCCCGGGCTGAAGTGGATCCACCATCCCCTTGTGTGTGTGTGTGTGTGTGTGTGTGTGTGTGTGTGTGTCTGTTTCTCTGTCTGGAATCAAGTCTGAGCAGGGCGGGCGCACTGGGCTCCGCAGGGGGGCGGGTGGGCACCTGCTCCTCTGCTGGGGTCCAGAGCTAGCGGGGGCCCATCCACGGGTGTGAGGGTGTGTGTGTGTGTGTGTGTGTGTATGTGGTGTGTAGGGATCTTGTGTCTGTGCTCAGGAGTCTGAGTGGAGATGTGTGGTATGATGTGCTGTGTGTGTGTGTAAGGATCTAGTGTCTGTGCTCAGGGGTCTGGGTGGAGGTGTGTGTGGTATGGTGAGTGTGTGTATGTGTGTGGTGTGTAGGGATCTGGTGTCTGCTCAGGGGTCTGAGTGGAGATGTGTGGTATGATGTGTGTGTGTGTGTGTGTGTAGGGATCTGGTGTCTGTGCTGGGGTCTGGGTGGAGGTGTGTGCACTATGTGTGCACTATATGTGCACTATGTGTGTGTAGGGATCTGTTGTCTGTACTGAGGGGTCTGGGTGGAGGTGTGTGCACATGTGCGCGTTGAGTGGCTTGGGTGCACAGCTTCCCTGAGGAGAGCTCTGTTCTCCCTCTGCTCTGCTCTCCTTCTGTCTGCTCTCCCTCTGCTCTGCTCTGCTCTGCTCTGCTTTGCTCTGCTCTGCGCTCCCTCTGCTCTGGGCTGCTGGCACAGGCTGCCCAGCCTCCCAGCCCAGGATGCATAAGCACCTAACAGGAGTCACCAGTGTGCAGATAGCAGCCAACCAAACACCTGTGAGTCTGTGTTGCCTCTGGCCCCGGGAGAGTGGCCTCCAGGACTTCCCTCTAGACCACATGATTTCCCCTGGCCTCTTGAGGGGTACCAAGCAGGATAGAGCCAGTCACAGCCAGCCACTCCCTGGTGCCTGCCCGGGACCATGGCATCTTCCCGGGGCTTCTCTTATTCTCAGTCCTTGTTTGTGGCTAGGGCTTTGATCACAGTCAAGATGACTGGCCTGAGTGACGGCTGGCTAAAGGAGTCCAGAGTCCTGAGTTCTTTTTTGTTTGTTTGTTTTTTTGTTTTGTTTTCTGGGTAATTCAAAGGCATTGGTGGCACAGGTCTGGGTTAGATGCCAGCACATTACAACTGTTGGGGAAGGGCGCCACCTCCCAGTATGAGCTGGTACTACAGCTCTGTGTCAGGATCGGCGGGTGCAAGGCACACAGGCCTGGCTTGTAGCCACTGGCACTCACGAATGCATTGCCTTCCTTCTCCCGCCAGGCAGATTGGCCAGAGGCCGCGCCACAGCTGCCTCTGCCAGATCACCCGATTCCCACGGCGGGTGGGGCAAGGACCCCAACTCCAGTCCACAGAACTCTCAGGCCACCTCGGAGCACGCAGATGCTTACACGTGGCACTCCCTGAGCGACGGGTGTGAGCCACAGAAATGCGGAATCCCTGCTCAGAAACACAGAGACAAACATAGCTTTTCTGGGCTTTTCATGGGACACATTCTGTGCAGTGAGCCTTCCTGTGCTTAAGAAGCAAGATACTTTGCTGGAAGGATACATCTCCGCTCCACAAGCCAGTCTGGCTCCAGACGGATGGCTGGGCCTGAACTCTGGCTCTGCCACTAACTTCTGTGAGAGAGGGGCCCATCAAATTAGCCTTCTGTGGCCCCGAATGTATATCGAGTTTACTAACAGCAACTTTCCTTAGCCAGGCACAAATAAGTGAATTAGCATAGAACAAGTGACAGGTGACGGTCCTTGTCACCACCGTCCGTGCAGGAGAGGAGTTGGCCCAGGAGTGCTTGCTCAGGCAAGCTGTAAAGCTGAGGTTCAAAGCCAGGGTGATGTCCCCAACGACCTATGACCCTCCCCCCCCAGCTCCTGGCCAAGCACCATCAACGAGAGGGGCTGTTGGTCCAGATGTACGAGCTCAACCCAAAAATAACCCCTGAAACCAGGGCAGGTACAGATGAGGATGATGGTGATGATGATGAACCTCTCCTGATGTTGGAGAAGTTCTGGTCTGCTTTTAGAGGGTGTAAAGCCCCAGAAGTATTTACAATTGCTACTTCTCTGGACTCCCAAAAGACAAATACAAGAAGGAAGCCAAAGGCCGCTCAAGAGAACCAAATGGGAGGCAAGGCAAGATAGGAACCAGGGAGGGAGGGAGCAGGCCGCAGCTCTCTCTGCCCAGGACACTGCCCAGAGACACAGACCCTGGACACAGACCGTAACAGTGTGGACTGGAGACAGGAAACACCCTTATCCTAGGTTGTCGGAGCCATGGCATGTTGGGGAGGCTGAGACCTGCTGAGGAGCATTCTCTTATCTACCTATCTATTTTTGTGCCAGTCCCGGGGCTTGAACTCAGGGGCTGGGAGCTGTCCCTGAACTATTCTGCTCAGGGCTGGCTATGGCTACCACCGCAAC